GGCTATCAAAGTATGCCTCCTTTTTCCAACTAGGTATCTGTTTGAGGTCAGATTGTTTTCATGTAATTCAACCAAAAAAACATATCAGAACAATGTGAATGCAGAAAGTAACAATAACAATCTAGTTTATTATTATTATTAAACCACTCATAAAAATCTCTCCTTTTATAAAGGAGAAATTTATAAAAATGAAACGAACGACTATTCTCATTAACATTTTTATTTTGGAAAATAAGTTTTTTTGAAAGAGATATTTTTGGTAAGATGTGAATAAACAAATATTTTTTAAAAATATGTGTTTTGATTTTTAATATGGAAATTATTTATAGCTGTAACCTGCATGAACAAGAGCTCTTTGGTGTCCTTAATAATTTGTAAGAGTAAAAGTGGTTCCTGAGACCCAACAGTTTGAGATCCTCTCCCTATATCATTGTTCTTTTTCCTAATAATTATAGATCAGTCCTATCCAACTTAGATAAAGATTAAGCTAAAGTAGGCCAAAATTTCCATTTAAAAAAAGTTAAGAAGAAAGAGAGAGAGAAAGGAAAGAATAGCAGAGGCAACGTATTGCCATGTGGTGGTTCTGCACATTAAGGCAATCTGTGTAGTCTGAGATCAGTATCACTATAATGACTGTTTTCTCCTTCTTTATTTACATACTACCCTTTTGCTCTCTGGGAGGATTAGCTGTACTGCCACCAGGATAACAAACAGACTAGGTCAAATAACCAAGGCAACATTTTCTTTCCAACAGGAAAACACTAAACCGGGTTTTAGTTCAAACAAATCTTGACTTCTTTTAATCAATTTAGAAAAATAGCTGCATAATTTTATGCATTCACTTACATGAGCATCACAGCAAAGAGATCTGCTTTTGTAGTTTTTAATATCAAAATTTAACGTTAGGAAAAAAAAGTCAATTTTTGCTGGTTTGATTGTAAATCTATTGCCAGATTGTTTTCGAGGATTCACACGTGCATTTTCCTCCCAGTTTTATTTTAAAATATGTTATACATATATCAAATACAAGTATATGAAGTGTGTGTACAGTTTAAAGAATAAAAGGAAATGACTGTGTGTGTACCCATCACCCAGGTTATGAAATAGAATATTACAAACTTGTATTCCGATGCCCTTTCCTGTAATTATACTAGGCTCATTTAATTCCTGAAAAAATATCTTCATGTTCTATTAGGATCTGAATAATCAGTACCCATATAGTGAGAACACGAATTATTTTTTATCAGTGATTACTAATTCCATCACAGTTCTGATAAAATCAATTTAGTCAACAAGAGTCACAGCCTAGAATCTCAAGTTCATACCTCCCAGAGCCTTTGTCATCTGTACTATTATGGAGCTTAGAGGAAAATTTTTCATTTGCTTTTAAATGTGTGTCAAATTTAAAGTTTTAAATTATACCTTTTATAATTTTTGTTCCTTGTACAATTGTGCGATTTGCAGCACTATACACTTTGCAACATTAGAGTTTAGAGTATTTTTTCACTCTAAAAATACTATATGTTGTCTAAAAATCTTTAGAAAACACAGAAAAATTCAAAGATGAAAATAAAAACCACCTAGAATTCTATCTAGACACAAATCTTACACCTTTCACAAAGGTCAGCTCACAATAGATCATTAACCTAAATGTAAAACACAAAACTATAAAATTTTGGGAGATAGCATAGAAGAAAATCTAGGTAAACCTGGGTTTGGCAGTGCATCTTTAGACATACTACCTAAAAAAATTATACATGAAGGGAGAAATGGATAAATTGGACTTTATTAAAATTAAAATATTGTGTTCTGCAAAAGACAGTGTTCAGAGAATGAAAAAAAAAAAAAAGCCAAAGACTGAAAAAACATTTGCAAAACACACATCTGATTGAGGATTTGAATCCAAAATATACAATAATCTCTTAAAACTCGATAAGAAAGCAAACAAATCAATAAAAAAATAGAAAAAGATCTTAACAGACACTTCATCAAAGAAGACAGACAGATGGAAAGTAAGCATATAAAATGTGCACAACATCAAATGTCATTAGGGAATTGCAAGTTAAAACAAATATGATACGCGTTTATACACCTATTAGAATGGCTAAAATCCAAAAAATGACAACACTAAACCCTGGCAAGGATGTGGAGTAACAGAAGCTTATTCATTGCTGGTGGAAATGAAAATTTGTACACCTACTTTGGAAGACAGTTTGGCAGTTTCTTACAAAGCTAAACATAGTTTTACCATACGATCTAGCAATTGCACTCTAAAGTATTTACTCAAATAAGTTAGAATGTTTATATTTAGATAAAAATCTACCTTTGGATGTTTATATCACTTAAAACTGGAAGCCACCAAGGTGTTCAATATGTGAATAGATAAGTAAACTGTGGTACGTCTAGACAATGGGTTATTATCCAGCAATAAAAATAAATGAGCTATCAAGCCACAAAAACACATAGAGGAATCTTAAATGTATATTACTAAGTGGAAAAAGCCAGTTTGAAAAGGCTATGTTCTGTATGATTTCAATGATATGACATTCTGGAAAAGGCACAACTATAGAAATAGTAAAATATCAGTGGTTTCCTGGAGTTTGAGGTACGGTTAGTGTAGGAGAAATGAATAGGTAAAGCTCAGGGGATTTTTAAGGTGGCGAAGTTATTCTATATTATACTGTAATGTGGATACATGAATTCATTTGTCAAAGCCTTTAGAATTACAAAGAATTAGTTGCCCTTCATGTAAACTATGGCCTTTAGTTAATAATAATGTATCGATATTAGTTTATTAATTATTACAAATATACCACATTAATGTAAGGTGTTTAGAACAGGGGAAACTGCATTGCAGGAGGTGGAGACCTGATATATGGGAACTCTCTGAACTATCTTTTCATTTTTTTTTTGGTAAATTAACATTAAAAAATAAAATATTTTAAAAAATAACCATTTTGTATATTACATGATTTGTTTTTCTGATAGAAGAAAGTATAATAGTTTGTGTTGAAATGTCATCTCTTGTGCAAATAAGTAGCATTATATATGGGTCCCAGGTAAATTTTCTTTTAGTTGGAAGATTAAATTAAGCAGATCTTACTGAATGTTTTTCACTGGTGATATTAAGGAATAGAGTTGTGTAGTGTATGTAGTGGAAACATGTCTGCTGAGGGACGGGTGGTGAAAGTAAAGCATTGCATGGGTAGGCCTTTTTCATAAAGATATCTATTTGTAAATGCACATTTTGGGAACTTGTCCATTTCAGGAAATTTATTTTTAACCAGCATTATCTTTCAAACCATTTTTGTTGGAATTAAGTCACTTTCAAGAAGAAAAATGAAACATACCAACAGCAATTTTCAAGTTTTGAGACATTTTTCTACAATATTGGTATAATAAGGATTACACATTTGGAAAATGCTTTCAATATTTTCATTGTGAAGAGTATTTATTTTTGTTGCCAGAACAACCAGACAGATGTGGGAAGAATGAGAAAATGTGAATTTCTTTCTCCACACAAAGAATACTTAAAATAACAATTACTCTCCCAACTATTAACTTGAGAATTGGTGTTCTTTTATTACCCTATGATCCACCTGTGTGTCGTTGGGGCAGACCGAGGAAGATTGAAGACAATGTTATAATGTGTCCGAGATCCCCTCCCACCTCACTTCCTCTCTGATCACCAGCCACCCATGTTATGGCCCAGTTGGACCTAATCTCCCTCAGCAATTCTCCATTCATCCCAACCCTAGTTTTTTAGATTACATTGCCTCCTTTTCTTTGCATCAGGAGTTTGCTTTGAATTTAAAAAATGACAAAATTACAGGCTAATTCCATTTAATGCATTAGATTGAAACCAGTCTTAATTAAACCCTACCTAGAGGGATGAGGATGTTAACAGGGATCTGAAAGCATAGCATCTTATCTTAAACAAATAAACTTGGAGTGATAGAATTTTAGTCAACAGGTCAAGTCAGAGGATATCTCCAAGGATGGGAAAATCTCTAGGTTTACCTAAGCATAAGAGTGGTGCTGGAGTGACCCCAGGCATTATGAGTGGAATTTATATAACAGGAGGAAGAGAAACTCTTTACTCTCAGGGAGCTTTCCTGAAAAGTGAACCCTGTACTGTGTTTAGGACATTAAGTAAATTTTTTGCTTATTTCACATGATATACTTCTAGCAACTTTGGATCAAATGAGTTCTAAGTTTGAATCAAAAGGCTTCATAAGATTGTATAGACATTGTTTCAATTACCTGATAGTAAAAATGAATAAGCTGGATATATAGACTATTGAATGCATCAGATGAAGTAGGATACAGAGCACTGTATTCACCCAGGGTCTCGGGTCTAGGAGCAAATTCACTCTCTAGAATGTTGTTAAAAAATTAAAAATAAGCGAAAAGCTTAGCCACAGCCAGTCTTGTTATAAAACAAATAAACTTTAGTTATACAAATGTAACTTCCTTTTCAAAGAAATCAGATATTCTCTCAGTACCTGGATATTCTAACCTTCAGTACCTACATACTATTTAACACAATTCTAATATGCTTGTTTATCTTATTTCCTAAGCCATAGATGCAATAAACAAAGCAGAAGAAAGTAGAATAGATGTGAGTGGCGGGCAAAGAGAACATATCAAAAAGTTTTGGATGATAACATTTATTTAGAAGAGTTACTGATAATATTGTCTCGTTCTCCAATGCTGTTAAGTAAACGAAGCCTATAGCCCATGAGTAACTAGTACTCTCAAGCTTACGCTCTTTGCCATGATGTCATTAACAGCTAAGAATATTCTAATATCATAATCCTAGAAAGTGGGGATGGAAAAACCTCTTTCAGAAGTTTATTCGTAAGTTTCATTGGCATCTTTCTATTTTTCTTTCCATCATCCTGTGTCTTGTTAAGAAAAAAAAAATGGTTTGAGCTAGATCATTTATCTTTGCAATATTTTTTCATAAAATATATGATCTCGTGTTTATTTCTCCATAGATCCAGGGCTGCACAGGCAGCTGTATTTTCTGCAAAGACCATCCAATGTAGTAGCCATTGAAGGGAAAGATGCAGTCCTGGAGTGTTGTGTTTCTGGTTATCCTCCGCCGAGCTTTACCTGGTTACGGGGCGAGGAAGTCATCCAACTCAGGTATTATACATTTAAGACTTTTGCGAAGTATATGCTGCTGTTTATCTTTCTCTAATTTGATATAAATACCTAGAAATACAAGAATTATTAAATAATAATTGAATATTTTCCCACATTCCCTGGCATGATATACTGTATGAAAGACATGTGGCTATGAAATAAGGGGATGAAGGAAAGAGTTGAATTGAGAACAATTCTGAAAAAAAAAAGCTGAGGTTGCTCTTGAGGTTGCTTTTGAGATGGTCCTGCCCATCTTCAGTACAGATATTTTAGAGAATCTCATCCTAAGCAAGTGGTTTAAGGAGAGGATCAATTTTAAATATTCTTACCACACACAGAGAAAAGATAACTACGTGAGGTGATGGGTATGATAATTAGCTTGATTGTGATAATTATTTCTCAATGAATATATATACCAAAACATCACATTATACATTGCAAATATATATAATTTTTATTTGCCAATTATACCTCAGTGAAGCTGGAGATAGAAAAAACCAAAATTTTCTGAGTTCAAATATGTAGTATGTCATTATGGGGTGTGAGCAATTTCTTTTAGCTCCAATTATCTCTCTCTCCATCCCAACTATAACAAATATTTAAGGCAAGACAGGAGAACTTGGCTAGCTTTGAATTGCAGGAACATTAATAATAAGGTACAGTTGGAAAGTAAGTTCTTAATAGAATGGAATATTTTTTGATTAAATGGATCTTACTTAAGAAATTAATTTCATTGATTTTAAGGACTGGTGTACTCCTTTTTGACACGTTTATTTTTTATGATAGGTAAGTCCACAGGTCATAAATTAATCTTTAAATTTCATCTATCTTAAATATTTATTTAGATAACAGCAATACATAGTATGGTATCATAATATTTCTGAGACTGTTAAAACATACAGGAAATCCAGGTATAGCTTCAGTAGGTCATGATGTGTTCCTTGGATATAGCCAAGCACTCAGTGCAGTATAAAATACGCCTTTGTACAAAGATCACTAAATTGAAAATGAGAACACAGGACATTGACGTCCACCCTGGGGAACCACTCATTGAGGTTCTTAAGTCTAAAATGAGAGAATTGGACTAGATTATCTATAAGTCACTTTTTAGTACTAGAGTTAGTTCCAAGTTTGATCTACTTCATTTCTTTGATTACTGCACATAACTTTCCAATGGTAGTAGTTTACCTTGAATGAATTTTTGATCAATAAGTAAGATGTTACCAAGCCCCTATAATATAGAATTTCTTTCCAATTTCATAATTTGGGCTTTTGTGGAGTTCATGTAAAGTTCTGAGTACCTCACCTAATATACGTGCCATTTAATTTACTCTGTAATTACATATGCCCCATGTCTTACAGGTCTAAAAAGTATTCTTTATTGGGTGGAAGCAACTTGCTTATCTCCAATGTGACAGATGATGACAGTGGAACTTACACCTGTGTTGTCACATACAAAAATGAGAATATTAGTGCCTCTGCAGAGCTCACAGTCTTGGGTAAGTTAATGGCTAGAGATAAGTTGACATTGTATCCTTCAAAATATATCACCATGACATTTTAAATGCTCATCACTAAATTGCTTCCTGTGTTTATTAATGTGAAATTAATGTGAAATCCCAATACTTCACACATGGCTTTGCTCTGCTTTGATTAATTGTATAGGGGGTAATTGCAATGTTTGAATACTTACACATTGATTAAAATCCAGATATATTACTCTTTAGTCTAATTATTTTAGCGATACAATTGAAAAGTACCAAAAATTGTTAAGGGACAGGTATGTTGAATAACAAATGGGAGGTTCCAAAATATCTGGGAAAAATAAATAAGGAAAAAATGATGGAATTATACAAAAAATATACTCTTTAGGGGAAAAGGCAGATGCTATTTGAGATGACAGGGTCTCTGACATGAAATTCGGTATGTTGGTAAGATGGTTTTACTAATATAGAAATACTGTAAGCGTTATATTGAAAGTGAACTACTAAAATCAAATACATGTAAGGAAAACTTGTATCAAGAATATAATTTAAAGAAACTTACAGGGCATGAATGGTTCATCTTATTCTGAAAGGCCGGGTAACCCACATATCATTGCAAATTCATAATTATTATATATGGTAAGTACTCAAATATATATTTTATCATTTACTCTAGATTTCTTTGAACCAGTTTCATTTGAATCATGTAGTTTGGAGAAAGTGCCTTAACATCTGGATTTCAATTGCTTTTTTCCCGTAACAACAAAAAAATTGGTTATTAGTTTTGTAATTTTTTTTTCCTTTGGAGTAAATATTTTTGCATTTTAAAGAATTCAGGAAAAATCATAGGCTACTTCAAAGTTATTAAGGAGAAATGAAAAGATATTATATGATATTATATCTGCTAATTATATCATGATATTATTATGATATCCATTTTGTTTTTTGTCTTTACAGTTTATTCAAAAAAACACTTTGATTTGTGGACAGGGTAATAATGTATATAATGGTTTAGGGAATAGAGTTGCTTGTTCTTTAATCAAACTATAGATAGCAAACTAAGAATGGGAAAGAGACTTAAATTCTTTGGATTTAGAGGTAGTATTATTCTAACTAAAATATCAGCTGCCTTTTAAATGACAACAATTTAATTTAATCATACTTTATATTTTGGTAAAATAAATAGAGAACTTTTACATTGTAATGTCAAAGTATAGTAACACAGAATGGCTGTCATAGAAATTATCTTGTACTGTGTAGTAATAAAAAGGCAAATATGGTTATGAAATAAGCTAGAATTTATACTGATCATTGGTAAACCTTTGCTTGCAAATGCATGAAGTCAAATTTTATCTCAAATTAATGCACAACATTTTGACATATAATGTTTTGTTGGTATCTAGGCCAAATGTATGTAAATACTGATTTCTGAGGATAAAGTAAATTAACCAAGATATATATGTATGGACATATGTATGTGCACACATATTGGCATTCTTTTTTTAATGAATTATATAAATTATTATAAAATAATTATATGCTGTTTGATATATATAAAACCATCCAAAGATGCACAAAGAAAAAAATTTTCCCACTTCAGGCATTTATATCCCCCTGAAGTGAATAATTTTAGTAGTTTGGTGTGTTTTATTCCATAAATTCCTCATGTCTGATTGAGGCATGTATGCCCATATAAAGTTTTGTGGTTACATCACGCTGTGATACCTCTTTGATTCTTTCTTATGCTGGGAAATTAGTCTCTATCACTTCTAGTGAGTCTTGACCAGTATTTTTATATTACATAAGAAATATTTTCAACATAATAATATTGACAGTAACATAAATTAATGTAATAAAACTGATATGTAATATAATCTACTTATATATACATATATAAACATGTACATATATACACACATGCATGTGCCTATGTATATGTGTAGGTGTATATATGACAGATATGCACATAGATATATGTGAAACAGCATTTACACAGTTCAAAAAATGTGAGACACTCCTTCTTCACAGTATCTTCTCTGAGAGGTTTGTAGGGGGAGCCCATTAAATAGCAATACTTTTTTTTTTTTTTAATTTTTATTTCAGGGTATTATAGCAATACTCTTGCTTGTTCTAGTTCTATACCAATTGAGAAATAAGAAAAAGAGTAAGACATAGGGTGACTCAAATATCACCTTTCTTTTTCTTTTTCTTTTTTAAAGCTGCCATTGAGCATGTGGTTTGTATCTGTACGACAGAGACATGCCCATTTGGTCACTGGCAGGATATATCTTAGCAGGATGTCCCTTAGGTGCAGGTCTTGTCCCACTGGATGGTGGCTGATGGCAATGGAGAAGACTTGCTCTCTTTGGTTAGATGTGTTTCCAAGAGAGAACAGCAGGTGAAGGTAGCTCCTTCAACTTCCAAGCTGACTAAGTCATTTGTGTCATTTGTCCTGATCTAGCCTCCCACAACCCAAGAAATGGTGCATATTGAGGAGGAGGTGGTGAGGTCAGTCTGCTTTTAGAGGAGCCCCCTCTCCAGGGAAGAAAACATTATTAGAGAAGAAGCATTCACCATCCCTACCCCAACCTTAGGTATTATTATCAACCTCATTTCACAAATGAGGACATTTCGGCACAGAAAGATAAGTAATTATCCCAAAGGAGGATCTCAAATTCAGACAGTCTGACCCAAGAGTCCCAGGTCTATGCTTTATTATCCAGCAGTGTAAGAATTTGCCTTTCTCCAAAACAGTGCTTTCCCCCACAATATTTGCACATCTAACAATTTCATAAAATGAAGTCTCCTTATAAGAATTTACATTCCTATTAAATTAAGATTTCTTCTTATAGTTTTTCTGGATAATGCATTTTCTATTTTGTAAGTTTGCTATTAATCTTCTTTGAACCTTTATGTCTTTATTGAAACATTTATCTTTATTGTGTTGATTTGAAGGAACTCTTTATATAGGAAGAATAATAACTATGTTGTATGTATTGTGTATTTTTTTTTTTTTTCATTTTGTATATGGCACCAAATCTTTTTCTTTATGGTTTCTGGCTTTGCTGCCATTAGACTTACATTTTTATTTTAAATGAGCCATGCTATTTCCATAACTCTGGATATAGATCACATGTTATATGTGTAAATTAGAAGCATTATTAATTTTCTTAAAAATAGATCTATGTTTATGTCTTGAATTTGGGTGATCTTGGTGTTTTTTCCTTCATTTTTATTTTGAAGAAATTATTTGATAACCCAATATACTTTTTTAAAATGTTTCCTACAGATTTTATATGATTTATAACTATTGTAGAGGCTTAATTTCATTCATGAGATTGTTGGTATACTGTTTTAACTATTCTATGTGGGCTCTAAAAATGAATATTTATATAATTAAATCTTTGTTTTAGTCTTTGGCTATTATGATATAAAGTTAGGATCATCCTGCAGGACTGAGGTTATGGGGAAAATAGAATTTATTACCTTTTTTAAAGAGGAAGAGGAGGAGAAAAGAGCTTCATTATCCATATTATTCAAATTTATTTCTCATAATATTTAAGAATTGAAACATATTGGTATTCTTCGTAAGATAAAATTGCATAAGAAATCCAAGTTTGTGCTTATAAAATTTTAATCATGCATTTTAGCAGACTCTTGTTTTGCCTTTCAAGTTGTAATCCTTTCTTGTGCTTAAACTGGATATGAATGTGAATCTTCATGAATGAACAGACTTTTCAAGTAGGCTGTCATTTTACATACAGCAAGATAAAAAAAAATATTGCCCTTCTCAGCAATTTCAGAGTGAATATACATTAAATAGAATTTGAAGCCTGGTGTTTGAATTGCCTTCTCATAAAATAAAAATTGAAAATTCCATAATCGTTAAACCATTAAGGAAGTTTACATTAGACAAGATTAAAGACAACCTTGTTTGCAATGAATAAACTATAAACAAGTTTTCAGATATTTTCTTAATAACAATCATTTATGGTACTGTTGCTGACTTCTTAGTATAAGTATCAATAAAGTAACAATGGGTATCTTTTGGCCACAAGTACTGTAGGAGGCTCTGGGAAGGCTGCAAAAAGATTTGAAGCTTAACTTTCATGGGCTTGTCGAATTGTTACAAATTCATAAAATTGATTTTCCTATTGCCTTATGAATAAGCTGCTTTTTACATATTGCATAGACTCATTGGAATCTGGAAAGATATGAAGAGTTGGTTGTTGCCACACTTATAGATAACAGGGACCAATGCAATGTGTGTAGGAGGAAATGCAGAGGGAGGCTTTCTGAATATTGTTGCCAGCCTTTATTTCATCTTAATTGCTAGTGTCATGACTACCTGTATTATCATTTTTTTTTTAGAAGTTTTTTAAAAAGAATTCAAGAATGGTATTTTTTCCATTTTTATTTTCAAAATGTCCAGTCTTCTGGCACAAGGATTATAATCTGATTTCAGTTGGCAACATATAGCCAATCCTTTCCTCTATCCACCGAACTTACACACAGCTCTACACCCATAGTGAGACAGCCTTCAATACACATTTAGGAGATTTGCCTCTGCCTTAGGTCTAGGTTGATTCAATGTCTGAATCAATGCAGAAATGATTACTTTAAAAATGTATTTGACATTTAACCAATAAAGTACCTGACTTCAGACAAGCATGATGCTATGTCCTTGTACACAGACAGAGATGGGTGGAAAGTTCACTGAGAAAGGACTCTTCAGTAGAATCCATTAAGTCTAACCTTGGGGAGAAAATTACAATATTGTTGAACTTTCCAGAAAGGATCCTGGGATCCCCTTTAAAGCAGTCTGCAGCAATTTAAACAATCTACTACTAAAAGTTTACCTTTGTATGTAGATATTTTCAATTATTTCTTTTATCAAAATTTCAGAGAAATGTTGGCTAGAATTGGCACAAACTAGTTTTGTAGGGTACACGTAAGTCTTCTAGGTCAGCCTTATGCACTAAATTGAAAATTTAAAACCGAATCTAAGAGTTTTT